AATCCAGAGATAATATTAATCAGGTAATGTCCATGCAGTATCCCTGTTAGTTTTGTTTACTAATTTTGCTTACATACAGCCTAGTGCTTACTCATGATGGAAGAACTTACTATGCCTACCTGATCTTGCTTACCCCATTTTTTGCAATCATACAATAATGTTGACTGTCTCTTTTATTTTTTATTATAACTTCTTTTTAAAAAATCTACTATGTGGGAATAATTAAATAAAATCTCGAATCATTCTTGGCTTTATTTACCAAAAATTATTTCTTTCCTAATTAATTTTTTTATAATGTTGTATAAAAAGGATGTTCCATAACAAAACACACACACACGCAGAAAGCATAGCCTATGACACTACAGCCTGAAATCTAAATACATCAGAAACAACTTTCCATTTATCTTCTTTAGCAGTTATTAAAAATGACTGATGGAAGGGGTATTTCCTTTCGCCAAAGGTGACAAAGCCTGAGGTGGTGACTTGAATGGTTGACTGCTGGCCAACAGCTTTGTCTGAAATGAAAAGTAGCATTTTCATTTTTTTCTCTCTCCTGATGGTAAACTGCATAATCCACATAAGTAACATTAATATTACCATGACTTAAATGTCTATACTGTCTATAATGAAAAATACACTGATAGCACTAATGATAGCATTAATAATTATTAAAATTAACAGAACAACAAGAAAATTAAATGAACTTCACAAATAACAATACTGACTGTTAAAAAATTAACACCAATCTTCACTATTTCTACAGGAAATCTTAGTCTATCAACAAAAAAGACCTAAATTTAACAACAATAAGATACATAATTTCACCCTGGGTACATACCACTAATAGGTTGAGCATCTACACACAAAATGTTATGGACACTGGTAGGCAAGTCCTCAAAGAACTTTTGTATCCTGGTATTTCCTTTCACTGAATTCCCATTCCACACTAACTGGGCATCTTCCAGGTACAACTTCCCTAATCTGTGACGCATCTGAAATGGACAAGCAATTAATTACACATAGACAATTGAAGTTAATGTTTGGTGACAATCATAGAAATAAAATAATAGTTTACAGCTTTCTGGAAATTTACTTCCATGTCTGCAAAACCAGTGTGTGCTTGAAAAGTGACTTAAAGATCTTGTCCTCTGTAGATGGCAATACACTCTCCTTGATTTGCTTTTACAGTAATATTGATCACTAATTCAGAATCCTCTAGAAAAGTGGTTCCCAACCTGTGGGTTTTGAAGCTACAATGAAATATGTAGAAGGCCAATTTGAAGACAGTTTGTAAATGTTCACAGGAAGAATATACTGTGAATTCATATCTTCAAGAAGTGCTGTAATATAATTAGGTAAATAAACCTTGTATAGATAACTGAATACTTTATTTTCTTCTCAGTCTTAGTCTAAAAATGATGTTAGGGGGGTTGAGGATATGCTGGGATTTTGAGGATGGGGCACAAGTGTAAAAAGGTTGGGAACCACTTCTCTAGTAGTAATAATTGTAACTAAATAAGGGCTTTGTTTCTGACAAACCCGGGCAGCTTAATAAAATACTAACCTAAGTCGCATTTGTTCTTTTCTATCTAATTAATACAATTCCATAATTGTTGTAACTGTAATCTTAGTTATTTATTTGTGTTTACACATAGTTTTACGTCATCAAGGAGTCAATCATTAGTCCGAACTATCTCTCCTGTTTACCTTTTTCCTTGATTTATGGAATTCATTTTTAATATTTCATTATTGTTATTGTTATCAGTATTCTAATGATATTCTAGCACTCATTATGTCAATAATGATAAAAATAACAGCAGCGACATCAACATCTTTGTTAAAACGGACATTTTCCTATACATTTCACAAGAAACTCTAATGGAAAATACTAAATAATAGAGCATTTGGCTGGAATTTCATTTTTCAGAATAGTGTCTTGCATGCAGTTTGGGTGGTACATTTTTTAAACAAGTTTTATAATGCAATATATATTTTTGAAAGAAATTCTCCAGTTGAGTTATATAAGAAATGAAAGATGATCCATATAATGTGTATATTAGGGATGTGCATATAAACACATATAGACCCCCCCACTCTTAAAACGTTTAAAATCATCAAGCCTTTGGGTCCAAGTGTCTTATGACATCATCTGACACTTCAAATATACTGACGGGACACTAATAGATAAGTCAAGGGAATTCCATTTGAAGGGACGTTGGAAAGGCTAAGGAAGCTATAAAATCACCATTCTATAGACCATATGACAAAGTGTTGTTTGGATAAAGAAAGATCAAACAACATCATAAGTGTGAAAAATAAAAGGTATTGTCTGAATAATTTGCAAATAATATCATTTTTTTGTCATAATGCCACTATTCATATTTCAAAATACAAACTTTTGTCTGTACAAAATGAATGCTTATACCAGTATGTAAATAATATATTTACTGAGAGTCTATAAGTGAAATTTTATCTATATAACACATAACTTACTCACCATCTCAAAATTAATACTAACATACATACACAAAATCATATTTGAAAACTTTTTATAAGGGCATAAGGCACTTTTCTTTGAAGATAAATTCCATAACAGTCTTCAACTCTTCTGCACTAAAACAAATAAAAAAAAAAGTCTTACCTTGTCTAAAGAATCATAATAGAGCTTTGTAAAGGTTTCAGCTGCTGTGCATGCAGTAAGAATTTTCATTCGTTCCTGAAAGTAGTCATAAATATAGTTAATAATTATAAATACTATTAACTAGAGGATTTTTTTTTTACATTATAAACATACTGTATCAACATGTACACCATTAAGGGTTATATACATTTGAACCTGATTCGGTAAAAGCATATATTTTTATTGATCTTAAATTCCATTGTTTTACTATTACAGGATCACTCTCATTTATTTTTCTAATTTTTGCTTCTTATCTTCATTAAGAAAAGACTGGTTATAAATAATTCCTAATTTGCTTTCCTTTATTGACATAACTAAATAAATATTTTCAATTATTTCAATTCACAGCATATATATATATATATATATATATATATATATATATATATATATATATATATATATATATATATATAATTCATACATTCTCATTCCTTATCCTGTACATAGTTGTACTAAATAAACTTCTGTAGAAAAGATGTGAATGACATGTATTTCTGATGAACATATAATCAAAATATAATCAAAATCGGTCAAATGCATCCCTGGCAGTGTGAATATAACAATTATCATTCATACCTTTTCAACATCTGTCTCAATGAACATGGTGAATCAACCTCATTCATAATATAAATATACTTGATTTATCTTTACATACTTGAAAGACAAAATTATAAAGGATATATACACCTTAGTTAAAAATTGTATTTATTTTATTGTTGACAGATTAGGTTTGTCAGTTTTGTGTGTGTGTGAGTGTGAGTGTGTGAGTGTGTGTGTGTGTGTGTGTGTGTGTGTGTGTGTGTGTGAGTGAGTGAGTGAGTGAGTGAGAGTGAGAGTGAGAGTGAGAGTGAGAGAGAGTGAGAGTGAGAGTGAGAGTGAGAGTGAGAGTGAGTGAGTGTGAGTGTGAGTGTGAGTGTGAGTGTGAGTGTGAGTGTGAGTGTGAGAGTGAGAGTGAGAGTGAGAGTGAGTGAGAGTGAGTGAGAGTGAGAGTGTGTGTGTGTGAGTGTGTGTGTGTGTGTGTGTGTGTGTGTGTGTGTGTGTGTGTGTGTGTGTGTGTGTGTGTGTGTAATCTATGAAAAAGTTATGCCAAAGTTTCCTGTAAAGAAAACAAATGCATATCATCAATCATATTGAATGTCAAAAAGCACCCACACTATTATCATGATAAATCAGTCAACAATAATGATAAAGAACCCTTTCTTTTAATATCATGACTATTACTAGTAAATTACTATTACTATCCAATTACTACCATGATTATTACCATTAATACAGCAGGGCTTAAATAGCATACTAGGCTAACAAATGCCATACAATTGTCACATAGGTATTTATCATACACATACAACCTAGGACAAAATAATCCTAAAGTTTCTTGTAAAGAAATCAAATGCATAAACATCTTGTTAACCATTCAAAATGTCAAAATCCACCAATAAAGTCACCATAAATCAGTCCACAATCATGTTTCATCAATGACAACCCTATCTAATCCTACCATTATCATTACTCTTTATTATTTACTAATCGAAGTACTAAGCATACTAGGCTAACAAATTCCAAACGATTGTCAAGGAATTCTTCACAGTCTACAAACTCATGACAATATATCGGCCATAAACAACAGAATGAAGGATTACAATAACAAACAACTTCTGGTGGCGTAAAATAAGAATAATGAAGACAAGTTATTCATAAAAAATCCCCTGACGCAATCCCCGAAAGACAGTCCCCCCTTCCTTCTCTTTTGAAAAATAGGGACGCATTGTGCTCCAGAATCCCTTAAATTCTACCCCAATCCCTAGTACAGAAGTTAGCCCATGCAAATCCCCCCAGGTAGCTCCCGTCGGATCCCAATATCCTCCTCAAAAAACGTTTTAGAAAAAGCCGCAAGGAACTCACGCTATCCGCCGCCATTTCGTGGGGTCCGCCTCCCCGAGTGCTTCCGAAAGACAGGAGAAACTTTTTCCTTTCGCCAATCTTTATCTCTCCTTTTCTTTCCAATCCTCGCTCGCTCGGATCACCCAATCCTTTCTCCTTACTCCTCGATTCCTCCTACCCGTCCTCCAATCCTCTATGGGAGTCTCCGATCCTCCTCATTGCCTTAAATCTTCGCTCAACACTCGTCGTTCCAGAAAGGTTCGTGCGCCGCCGACTCGTCCTCCGCACTGCCACTTTAAATCGTAAATCGCAACCTTGGCCAGGCGGGATTTTCCATATTTTAGGATACTTTTAAGGGTTTTAGGGACTGTTTGGGTCACTTTTAGGATTCGGATTGGGTTAATGGAGTTTATAGAGCGAAGGAGGATCATAGAAAGGGGAGGATAAGATTGGGAAAAGGGGATTAATGGGAGATATAAAGCGAGGTTGCTTGCTTGCTTGTTCAAATCTCTCGCGATGTAAAGGTGTCATTAAAGGCAAGAAGAAATTTTAAAACCAATAAAACAATTAGTAACACGAGAACAAACTTAAGCCACCCTTAGCAACAAATCATAAATAAAATTCACCACTCATTCATCCCAATCCTCTTCATCATTACAGACCCAAAATTAGAAGAAAAGGAGAAAAGGGATAAAAATAAAAGTTTTTTAATGCCCAAAAGGGTACTCCAAGTAACGCGTCTGGAGGACGGCAATCAGCTGGCGAGATGTGACAGTTCGTAACGCATTCCGGGGGTCGTGGCTGCCCCTTTCTCCCCATTTTAGCTGAATCTGTGCTGAAATATGTCTCTTTCGGAACAAAATGGGCCAATCCTTTTATCGATTTATCTATCTGGAGGGATGGGGGATCGATTCCTTCCTTCTCGTTACTTATGCTAATCAATTAAGGATCCGGACATTCGGACCTTTAAATGTGATGGTGGGTTTATTTTTTTTATTTTTTTTTATTTAGGTTGTGATGTGCGAAAGGGAATTTTCATGGAGGTTATGTGCTGCCTCGGGGTGCGAGGGAGGGGGAAATCAAGATATTAATACGGTTAACGAAGGTTGAGGAAATGTTAATGACTTCACTGTCGATGCCATTCCAATTTCTGAATTGTGTAGGACTTGTTCCAGCAACAACTCCCGATCTCCAGCGAACGGCAGAAATAATTCCCCTTGCGAAATACGAGCGAAACGAGTCCCCACCCTTCAATAAATAACCCCGCGAGAGACGTCGGCGTCGCCCAATATAATTCTCGAGGCCTGTTTCAGAACATTTAAATGTACCCGAAGGAGCGGGGGTCGTGTGTAATCTCGCCGCCTCTCGCGGGATCTCGCCGCTTCTCGGCCGCGTCACGTGACCAGAGAGACGTTTATTTTTTCCCACCACAATGGCGCCAAGCCCTATATGTACATTTAGGTGTAATTTTAGTCTCTTCCGCGGCGGTTTTAGCGTTGTTCACCGATGTTTTAGGATGTAAAGATATGCTGTGTGTGCTGTCCCATATGAAAGGTGTTCGTAAG